GGCTGGCATTGCCCAGCAGCCCGATCCCGGCAGGGCTGGATCCCTCCTGGCACACCTGGCTCACGTCCCGTGTCAAGGGGAGAGGGGCCGGGTGGTGGCTCTTGTCCTGCGAGCTGCAAGGGGCTTTCTCCACAGAGGAACATCCTCTCCAGTTTAGCTTCTTTTTAATTAAAAACCCCCAAACTGCACTGCTGAAGGCAGTGCTCTTTGGTGGTTTTTTCTTACTGGTTTTGAGAACTGGTGAGCAGAACCCCTGTCTGGATCCTCATGTCGCCCTCCCATTGCACCAGCTGTTGAGATGCACTATGCTTGATTGCAGATTGTGTTCTAACGTTTATTTTGTTGTTGGTTTTTTGGGTTTTTTTGGTATAAAGTCGTTGCCTTTATTTGTAAAATCCTGTTATAAATATATATATATTATATAAATATATTAAAAGTTAAAACGTTTCAGATGTCTATTATTTGTATAACTACTTGAGCATAAAGAAGTGAGAAATATGAATGTATTCTTGTTTCTGGGTTGTCTTTTTTTTTTGAAGAGAAGAATATTCCGTTTTTCTCTCGGGAGAGGTACAGTGTTTATATTTTGGAGCCGCCTTCAAGGTGGGATATTGTACATATTTTTATCTTGAGTAAATGTTAAGTAGCTGTTTAAAAATGCTTAATAAAATAATTCTTTTCCTGTGGAAGATAAGGGTTTGCCTCCTTTGCTTTGAAATGTTTGAGCAGGGTCATTCTGCATGGTCTGGTCCCACAGGGGATGGCATGGGGGGAGCAGGAATTTGGGGTGCAGGGAAAAGTGGGGATTTTGGGGTGCAGGGAGGAGTGGGGATTTTGGGGTGCAGGAGGGAGCAGGGCTCTCCTTGCTCCCCCCACAGCTCCTCTGCCGTCGGTTCCTGAAGGAGCTCAGAGTCCCATTACCCGTGTCACCAGGGATATTTATTTATTTTAACTCCCTTGGCACCTCCAGGGATTTTTTTCCTTCCAGACTCGAGGGAGGTGCCGGGAGAGCCTGGCTGGCTTTCCTGCTCTCTCCTGATGTCACGTTGTGCTCCCTGTGTCTGGCATTTGGCCCCTGGGCCCCAGGCTCTGTGGGGAGGAGGCAGCCCCTCACCCCGGAGCATGCAGGGAATCCAGAGGCTTTGCCCAGTTCCTGGAGGAAAATGGACTTGCTGCAAACTGGTTTTACTTCAGCACCCTGTGTCTGAGGTGCCCAAGCACTGCCAGGGACGGTGCCCACTAGCCCCTGGGGCTGAGGGGTGCCAGGGTCAGGTCGTGCCTTTGTGGAGTGATCCCTGCCACCCCCACGTGCCCCAGGTGTCCCTGATTTGGGAATTCCAGCTGGCACTGTGGGTGGTGGAGCAGCTGCTGCCTCTATTCCCCGAGGGCAGGGTCCTCATCCCACCACAGCTCCCTCTCAGCAGCAATGCTGGTTTCTGGTCTCCAGATGAAATGACAACGGCCCCAAACCTCCCCAAAGGCAAAGAGGGGTGAAAAAAAGGGATGGGTGGGAGGACTCTGTTTCCCAGTCCTGCTGCCTGTGTGTGGATGGGCAGGGGCAGTTCTGAGGGGTTATTTGGGATTTTCACTGTGCAGATGAATCACAAAATGTGGGGAGGGGTTTTAGTGTCCAACTGGGCCAGCACTGCTCAGGTCTGGGCTGAGCATCTCCAGGACCCCACATGGAAGGGCTGATGCTTCTGTTAGACTGTGGTTAGAACTAAAGAAACCTTGGCTTAAATAATGCTAGAAAAAAGCGCTGCTTGGTTTAATGTGTTTGAAAAAAAGTGCTGCTTGGTTTAATGTATTTGGGGTCTACACACATCTCAGTGTTCATGCTATGTTTGCTTTAATTAGGGCTAAATATTGATCTTACTGAGGCTGGCTGTGACAACCCCATTTGGGGACATCATTTGGTGCTCAGAGCAGAGGTGTCTCCAGCCCCGGGACCCCTTGGATTTCTGGCTCCTTTCCATGGCTCTCACTCCCCTTTGGTCCCCATATTCTGGCCCCTTGTCCTGTGGTGGGACGACTTGCAGGACTTCCAGATCCTCAGTCTTAGAGAAAAAAAAAATGCAAAAACAAAGTAGAAGAGACAACATTTACTCAGGAAGCAAAAGATTATTATGGGCTGTGAATTTTCTTTGCCTGCCTGGCCTGGTGCCAGCAGGACAGGTGAGTTCTGTGGGGCACAGTGGGGCAGGGGCTGCACCCGTGGTGGGGACCCCAACAGCCCCTTCAGCCCTGTCAGAGCTGCATCCCCGGGCTCTCCATCCCAGCCCGGGTGGATGGATGGATGGATGGATGGATGGATGGATGGATGGATGCAGGGGCGACCCCCGGCACGGCGCCAGCCCGGGACAGCCCGTGCCGCCCGCCCCGCCGGGGTGTGCTGAGTTCCCGGGCTTGTTTTCATGGTCTCACCCAGCTCTGACCTGCCTCAAATGTTGACACAATGTCACGTTTCCGACTGCAGTCTTTCATGTGCAGCCGGAGGCTAAATACGGCTGCTGGTTCCTGGAAAAAGACGTGCCTGGCACCCTTTCAGCAGAAACCCGATCCCCATGCAGGCTTGGCACAACAGCTGAATAACACAGCAATAACTCTTTCAGCAGCATTTCAACCCATAAATAGGGCTTCCCGAGCGACTCCTTGAAGTCAGACAAGGAGGATACAATGATTTCGGGCAAAAAATTAAAAATAAATAAAGTTAGTGTGCCTGAAGAGCGGGTGGGAGGGGACAGCGGGGTCAGGCAGATCAGAGGGTGCCGTGGAGGTGCTGAGTGAGGTTTGCCGAGTGGGAGAGCAGGATTGCCTCAAAAGGAAAGAAATGCTCCTGAATTTTTTAATGTCTCGGTCCTGTTTCATACCAGCCCCGTGGAGGCACAGGGAGAGCCTTCCTGAGAGCCAGGGCCTTTCCTAACCCCGGTGAGGACACACAGACACATAATTTTAGCTTTTCACCACCTGTTTGGAAAGCTCCTGTAGCCGGGCGCTGTGGGACTGGATGGTTTTTACAGGCATGTACCCCGGGAGCTGCTTATTTGCATTATGCATGGACCAGGGCCTAAAATAATCTGCAGTGACGCACTTTTGTTTTTTGCTGTGATTCTCTCCCCCTGCCCGTACCCCCCCATCCTTTTGCAGGACTCCGTTTTTCTGAACGTGCCGTGACTTTTGGGGCCCACGCGTGGCTGCCCAGCCCCGGGGCTGCCCAGCCTGATTCAGCACCGGGCTGAGCCGGGGGAGCTGCCCCGGCCCCGACACAGCGAGGGACAGGAGAGGAGAACAGAACACAAGAGAGAAGCGCCCTTGTGCTCCGCCTCGGCTTTCATCTGCGGAGCGTGTAGCTGCAAGTGCGGCGTGTTTACAAATGCAGGCATTGCAAGATCCCTTGAACTGTGTCCTAGTACAAAAGAGGCTTTGAAACGAGAAACACGTTGTCATGGCATGTTCCAGGCCAGCAGCACCAGACTGAACCAGATAATTGCTGTTTCTGCTTCAGCGTGGAAAAAGCAGCAGGTCTTGAGCAAGTCCTTTTTTCCCCTCAGACATTTGGTGCGATGCTCGGGATGGGAGGAGAGGGCCGGGAATGCCCGGGCAGCGGGGGCAGAGCGGGCTGGGCTCCCCAGGCTGCCGGCAGGATGACTCTGCTGGGCTCAGCCCGTGTAACCGTAGCCCGGGGCTGGTGACACCGACCCCGGCTATGTGACACGGGTTGCCCGTGTTTTGTAACGCTGGCGCGCTGCCGGGGCCGGGAGATGCGGCTCCCGCTGCTCGCTCGTGTTCCAGACCTTTCGCACTGCCCTTCTGCGGGCGGTTCACGGCACTCGAGAGCTCTCCCGGTGCCAGGAGAGCTGATAATTGCAGTGGGCATTACCAGCCCTGGGCACGGCACCTCTGGGAGCGCTGGGCACGGCTCAGGGTGCCTGTGCCCTGTGCCCTCGCTCCTGGGGTGTAACAAATGGAGGGTAATATTTCTATCTATTTTGGAATTATTTATTTCTTACACGTGTCTTTGTCGCAGGTGTGTTTCTGCCCCAGGCACATCACCCCGTGGATGTTATGTTACAGTTATATCACAGCCAGGGACTTTGGAAATGGCCAAACAGGAAAGCTCTGCCTGGGAAGGGTTTTTCACCACATGTGCCCTGTTAAAACTGCAAATGGAGCAGGCTGGGTAATACCACACAGCTGATGGAAACAGGAATGCCTGGAAATAAAAGGCAGCTCCCCCAGCTCCTCTCGTGCTTGCTGCTGTCCTTGGGCTGCTGGAGCTGCCTGGGCTCTGTCTTGGGCTGGGTGCCCCTGGCACCCAACTCCTTGCACCCACACAGGGGCAGGCCTGGCTGAGCAGGTGGGTGTTTGCTCTGGATGGGCCCTCAGCCCTGCTCATGTCCGTGGGTGCCAGTGCTGATGGGACAGGGCTGGTTTGCCATTTCAGCCGTGGCCTTGCCCCCAGCGCTGCTTTCCTCCTCTCTGACCTCTGCTCTTTATTCCAGTACCCAGGAGGGGCTCCCACGTTGTTGTTTTTTGAATGCCAGCTCAGCCCAAGGATGATGGCCACGGTCTGTGGCTGCCAGAGCTGTTGCACCAGAGGAATAATTAGTTTCTCTCTGGAGCACAGCTTTATCCTCCCTTCAGCCCCTGGACCTCTCCAGCAGCTCTCCCTCCTCTCCAGTCACCTCCGTGCCATGAGAGAGAGAAAAGGCCGAGCTCTACCCTGCTTTGAAAGGACTGATGAATATGCAAACTCTCAGGGCTGAAATATTGCTTATCCACGTCACGGGGTGTGCATGGAGCTCTGCTTGTGCTGCTGCTGAGGATGTGGACACCACCAGCGTGCAGCTGAGCAGCTTAGGGAAGATTTAACTCTTATTTCTATTCTCGACACAGAATCATTAGTAAGGTTATGGCTGTGTTGGGGGCTTTTCCCAGTGCCCTCCCCCTGCTGTGGCAGGGCCTGGGGACCTGCTGCCGGCTTTGGCTGCAGCTATTGATCAGGGTAAAGCTCCAGCCCCAATGGGAGCAGTCACTGATGATTATCTCGTGCTATTAGTGCACGTATTGTGAAATTGTGTGATCTGAGATGAAATGTGACCTATGGGCATAGGCAACATGTTCTAATGTATTCAGAAAGGCCAGGGCTGACGAGCTGTTGCTGCTGGTACCACACTGATTAAACCCCAGCTCGCTCTGCTCCCATTGAAGTCAGTGGGAGGTCTGTCCCTGCCTTGGTGAGTGCTGGCCTGCATCCAGGCTGCACTGCATGGGATGCATTATTCCCCGGGATTAGAGAGGCACAGGGAGTGGGATTCCTCTCTCACTGGTCTCTGCACTCAGACGTTTGCCTTGGAGCTGGCTGGGACGTGGAGCACCCGGGCTGGTTTTGGTGTCAGCCCCAGGAGGGGATGAGGGGTGTTTGCTCCTGAAGGTTGCCAGGGCTGGGGTGCTGCTCTGGGAAAGGTGAGGGGCTGGGCAGAGCAGTGATCCAGAGCTCCTGGTGGCATGGGGATAAAGGAGGCAGGGTTCCCATCAGCACTGCCTGTGCCAGTGTTTGACCGGCAGTGCTGGAGCCCTGCTCAGGAATGAGAAGCTCAGTCCCACAGAGGGGTCCTGGCTCTGCACCTGCTCAGGACAGGGCTGGGCAGGGGTTTTCTCAGGTTCTTCATTTCAGACGAACGTTTGACCTCAAGGAGGTGCCAGTTGCTCCGGGGCTAGATTCCCCGGTGGCAGGGGAGGTGCGGGGGCACCTCGGAGCCCATCCCAGCGCCACCGGCCCGGCTGAGCCCTGGGGGGAGGATGACTCAGGGCCCCGTGCAGGGAGGGAGGGGGTGGCACTGACCCCCCCAGTGCTGCCGGGGAACTGAAGCAATCTGTTTATCATGGAAAAACTGCTCTTTGCAGCAATTCAAATGGAAACTTCCCAGAATGAGTGTTGCAGAGCTTTCCCCTTGAATCACCGGGCCTCCCAAGGGCCGCTTTCTAAGACGATGCCCTCGGGAGAGCTGTCACCGTCCCTGCTCCCTGCCGGGCGTGTGTGGAGCTCCCTCAACGAGCACAGCCGCTCCCAATCCCTCCTCGGGCCCTTTCCCATGGGAGCAGTGCCCTTCCCCGGGCGGGACACGTACGGGACCCCCATACTCAGGTGTGCCCGGAGCTGCTCTCAGCCGGTGCCGGGGGCTCTATGGTGGTGCCACCCCCAGCCCGGTGCAGGCTCCAGGGCAGCACCCGCTGCCACCCCGCCGGGCCATTTGCCCGTTTTCCCTGCCCTCTGGCTGCCCATCACCTTTTCCGTGGCTGAAATGAGTGTCCAAAGGTCACGGGGAATTCAGGCGCTGCCGGGTGAATAAGGAGGGAGGGAGTGAGTGAGTGAGTGAGTGAGTGAGTGAGTGAGTGAGTGAGTGATGCCTGACTCCGCTCCCCTCCCGATGCTGCCTTGCCCCGCTGTGCCCGGCCATGCCAGCCCGGTGCCCCCGTGCTGTGCCCGCAGCTCGAGCTGCCCAGGGATGCTGCCCAGGGATGCTCCGGGCACGGCACAGCCACAGCTGTGTGTGAGCCCTGAGCTGGCAGATTCGGCCGAGATAGCCCCGGAATGTGTCACAAGGGCTGGCAGGGCACCGGGGCAGGGAGGGACGGCAGGTTCGGGCACCCCGGTGATCCCAGTGCCACCCGCGGGGCGAAGCTGCTGATTTTTATGCATTTATTCCTGTCGGCCCCGCGGTGCTTGTCCCCATAGTAACAGAGCAGGCTGGCACTGCAGCGCTCGGTGACATCCCTGTCCCCAGGGGGAAGCCAAGGACCTGCGTGCTCCGTGTCCCCAACTCCTCGGCGATGTGCAGGGGCTGGGGACAGCTTTCCTGAGCCTGTCAGGCTTTCACTGCATCCCTGCAGCCCCGGGAAAGCGGAGAGTTGTTGGCAGGAAGGGCAGGTGTGGGGCTGGGCCAGGACGTGGCAGCACTGTGCTGGGGTGAGGGCTGGCTTGGTGGCCGGTCCCTGTCCCCAGGGCAGGTTTGATGGCAGGTCCCTGGGGCTGGTTTGGTGGCCGGTCCCTGTCCCCAGGGCTGGCTTGGTGGCAGGTCCCTGTCCCTGGTTTGATGACAGGTCCCTGTCCCCAGTAGCAGCAGCAGTGCCCGGGACGTGCCGCACGTGTGAGAAGCAGGGCCCGGCTGGGGCAGGAAGCACAGAGGGGTTTCTGGGCTCCAGGAGCACCTGAGGTCAGGAGGCATCTGCAGCTCGAGCTGTTTGAACCCACAGCGAGGCAAAGGTGTTTTGAAGGAGACTGGCAAGACCGAGATCTCTGCTCAGATCCTGGAGGATGAGTCAAAGGATTCCTGAAACAATTAGAGCTGTGAGGTGCAGCAGCAACAGCACATCCACCGTCAGCAGCCCTGCCAGGCGCCCTCGGCCAGCTGTTCGTGCTTTCCCTTTAATAAGGCACATTAGGCAATTTCCCATTTAAAAATGTTTATGGGAATATATAAATATTCGCTTATACAGAGCCCGCCTGGCCCTTGGTGCGCAGAGCGGTGGCGAGAGTGACTTGAATTGTTATAAACCCATCCAGACAGCCTGGGATGGAGCCGTCAGCATGGGCACAGGGATGTCTCAGAGCCCCCTGGGCACCGAGTCCTGCAGGTGCCAGCGTGGGACACCCGGCTCCGTGGGACACAGTGTCCCCGTGGGCAGGACAGGCTGTGCCACATCCCCTGTGCCAGCCCCAGGCAGCCTGGGCAGGGTTTTCCCTCCTGTGATTTCCCGATGGCCACAGGAAGAGCTTGCACAGACCCGATCTGGATTTAATCAAAGGAATTTTTTTTTTTTCATTTGCTGTCTTATGTGCTGACCACCAAACCACATCCTTCGAGCCTGAGCCCAGCACAGTGAAACAAAAACTAGGCCAGGGCTTTTTGCTATGGTTTTTTTTCTTTTTTTTCCCCTTAGTGCATCAGTTGGGTGCAAAGCTGGCACACACCTCTCCTGCAGCCCCTCTGCTCCCACACAGCCCCTTCCCAGGGCAGCCTGGCATTTCCACCCCCTGAGCCAGCACTTGCAGCTCCACGTGAAACCTGGGAACTATCCAGATTATGTGCACTGAGCACAGTGCAGTGGGAAGCAAATACAGAGGAATAATGAGTAATGACGTGCTGGCAGACCACGTCGGGACCTAATAAGGCACAAGGTGGGGACTGTCCTTGGCTCTCACTTGCTTGGTGCAGCCTGGCTGTGGGGTCAGAGGGGCCCCTGGTGTGGTGGGAGCAGCGGCTGTGCTGTGACTGTCCCTGGCAGCATCCCACAGCATCCAGGGGCGAGGTGCCTGCGCAGGGAAGTTCTCACGTTCACAGAACAGAGAGCAGCTTTATTGTTGTATTTTGCAAACCAAAACCAGCCGGGAGTTTCTGAAGCGTCTGCCATCCCCACAGAGAGCTGTTTAGTCATGCCTGGTGTGTGTGCATGTGAGACAGAGAGGGGAGGGAGGCTCGAGGACTTTGCAAAGATTAAAGATTTATGCTGACCCTTGAATCTGATCCAAGGCTACTAATCTGCCCTGATCCTATCATCTGCTCAGGGTGGATCTATTTCACTTTCCTTTATGGTACTCCTGACTCATTCCACTCCCACTCCAGGCCAGTCCAGTGGGAATGGGAAGCGCTACCACATATTTGTTTGGGTTTGCATTTAGAGCTCTGGACCTGTAGTGGGTGCAGCTCATAAAGGAAACCAGTGTGGATAAGATATGGGCGAGCTGAATGCTTGGAAACCACTCCCAAACGCGAGCTGAAGTGGTTTGAAATCAAGGTGGAGTGATGTACTGAAGGCACAATACTTGGCAGCTACGCCCAGTGTGTGAGAAAGGCATTTAAATCCAAGGTGGTGAGGTAGGCAGGGCACCCCGTGTGCTTCCCACAGGACAGCCCGTGCCTTGCAGGGTGTGCAGTGCCAGGGCGCTGGTACCCCCCCTGCCTGCCCCCTGCCCTCTCGGTGCTCTGCACCCTGTGAGTCCCCCTGGGCCTGCAGGAAGCTGTGCCAGGGTTCTGCTCTGCCCTGGCACTGCTCCACCTGGGAAAAGACTGCTCGTGCCTCATCACCCTGCACTGAAATGGCTGCTGGGGCTTCGGGGTAAGGAGCAAGGTGTGGAGGAGAACACAGACCCGAATGTTTGGGGGGCAGAATAAATCTCCTTTGCCTTCACAATAAAAAATGGCATGGCAGAAAGAGAAATGGGAGCTTTCCACCCCTCAGCTCTTCTCTGCTGCAGCCACACGTGTATGGAGGGAGGCTGGGGATGCCACAGCAGCCTGGCCTGCGTGCCAGCCGGGCTGAGTGGGTGACAGCACCGGGCAGCCCTGGCAGACGGGCAAACAGCATCAGTCACAGGGCCTGGCCGCGGCTGGACCGCCGGGAGATGGAGTGTGCTGTATCCTATTTCAGATCCCCTGGGACATCCTGTTCTCCTGATAACTGATGATATGTAAATATAGCAAATGCAAAGCCAGGCACTTTGCTAGGGTGCCCGGCCCAGGCTGCTTATAGAGCAGGGCTGAGCCCAGCGGCGCTCGGGAACGCCCATCGGCAACTGCCACACGGGCAGCGCGCTTTATTTTTGGTTTA